GCCTACAATAAGCGATTCCTGTACCGGATAAAAAAATAAGCTAACTGTGCTACGAGAGCATGCAAATATGCATAAGAAGAAATGAAACAGCTCCTTCTACTATGCATAAATATTACTGTTCGTATAATATTTAAAAACTGAAGTGGTTGGGTAAACGACCGCTATCTAAGCAAAAGTTCTGGGTTCATGACTATCAAAAGTTTTCACAACATGGCTATACGAGCATTAGTGCGGTTTTGGAAGATTTGCGAAGATCAGAAACACACTGATTGGTAATATTTGTTATAGTTCGCATTGAGATACTTTTGGTCACATGTTTAGCACAGCCTCTCGTGTTTGAAGAGGGCTATGTTTAAAGTGCGGGCAAGTGTCCAGTCACTGCTGTGAGATCGCATTTGATAAAGGACTGTGAGAAGAACTCGCCTGCAGAGTGCGAACGTTTCTTGGTTGCGTTGTGTGTGACCATTGTTGTTGACGCGTGGAAAATGTTCATGACGCCACAACACTCCTTTTAAAAGGACATTTTATCCGTTAATTTCGCTATAATCTACTCTTACTCGTAAGTTCGTAACGCAAAATACTAAGTAAGAAAAGGTGAGTAGCCAGAGCTTTGTATTGGCGCCAACCTGTACTTAAACACATTTAACTTTAAAAAATAATAGGAAAAGTGTAAGTTTGCTCCTTCGCAGTGCAATATTGTCATTTGGTGAAGCATAAAAACACTTCGCCGTCGACAATGTTTAAAATGAATGCTGAGCGCAGCTTAAACTTGGGTCAAGCCCAACTGTGTTTGAATTTTGGCTCTAGGCAAGGTATTGCTACGCCATAAATAACAACGTTTTGAAGTAGGACAGCACCCGCTACGTAATGAATAAATTTTCTGGGCTAAGCGAGGTATTTTCTACACATTTATACAGTACATTCCGCAATTTGTTAATGCTTGATATTGATAATGTCGATGAAGAGTAATGGCTGGGCACTTTGCAGTGAGTGGGAAGCATTAAGCCACACACACACGTTGTGCGATCAGCAGTTCGTGATGACCGGTTGTTATTGTAATCTTCATCCACGATATATAATACATGTTAACACAATTCATTGCCTCACATGATGCCTGTATATAGAAATATTGCAAATTAGTTTCAAGCACCAGCGTCGTTCTTTTACAAAATACTCGACTGCCATGCAGAGGACCCGGCTTCAAGTCCCATTTGATAGTTGGCGTTTTTTTATTTTAATTTCTCACATCGATTGGTTAATTTTTGTTAAGTTCATTTTTTCAGCAACTGGACACAACAGCGACGGAAAGGGTGGCGCTGTTAAACGCAGGAACGGGTGCCTAAAAGCTGCTCTCTAATATCGAAAGTGCTGCCGCAACGGCACATTACGTTACTTCGAAAAACGTGTTTTTCTTTCTCTCTCTCTCTTTTCATTTATGAAGATGAGTTCGAAAGACCCCCCAAAATAGTTCGCGGACCCCAGGGGCCCATAAACTCTAACTTGAAATCTACTGGCTTACTGGTGGTCCTGTGCTGCTCACCCATTCTTATGCTCAGAAGGACAATAACAATATCTGGGGTTTGACGTCTCAAAATCATGATATAACTATGACAGACGCTGTACTGGAGGGCTCCGGAAATTCCGACCATCTCTTGTTCTCGTGGATTGACATCACACAAGACACAGGCCTCTACCATTTCGCCTCTAATGAACTGTGACTGCCTTGGCCGTAATCTTACCCGTGACTTGCGGGTAAGCAGCCGATTACCGTATCAACTGCAGCGTAAATACGTGACCGAATGTTCAAATGGATACTAGGGACTTTCTGATGCGCTGACGTTTGCCGAGCTATTGTACCTTTATCGCTATCATATTGAATGCTGATTTGTGCGCCTTTTTTGTATTCCTTCGCCCTGTCTCTCTCATAACTTAAATTTTTCAATAATCAAGAAAAATAAATAATCACAGCCTAATATTTAGGACTGTCACTACATCCAGACCCTCTCTCCAGATGTGCTCGTGCACAGTACAATGAACTTTTGCGAGTATGCGTGGAATGCCGATGTAAAAAAATGGCTTTCCTTTGCTTGTACCGCACTGAGCGCAAAGGAATATATCTTGTGTACATAGTACAAATCACTCCAGATGTATATGTACAATGAGATATTCGAAGAACTACGTTTCTGCAGGTACTGTCTCGAACACTGCGGCACAAAATACTGTGAAGTTGTCACCATGGAAATGCTCTTCTAATTTTCTCGAAATACAACGATGACTAAGGAGTCGAGGCCTATCCTCGCTCGGCAACGTCGACAGCAGCACTCGTAACTCCGCGTTCAGTGTTCCGATAACGATGCTCAGAACTAAAAAGGCTAGCATGGACGTAGGCTGTAGAGACTCACGTCTAAAACTTTGTAGCATGCAGAAACAATGTGTTTCAGAGGAAACACAGAGAAAAAAAAAGACACACTCTTTAAAGTGGGAGTTATAGCTCGGTGCTTTATCGAACGCATTTTTTTTTGTCCGGCAGACTGCAGACAGAACCGATAGAGCACGCGGAGAGTCGCACTCAGCGCGAGCCTTCCGAGAGGAACCACTTCACTTCTTCGAAATTTTTTTGCTACACACTAGTCCTCACGTATATTTCGATTTCCAGAGCCATTCCAGAAACCCTGTTGCCTCGGCTACCCCCACTGGGGCCATACAGCAACCAATTGCACTGGTGCACGTATAGTTGCATCATTGTAACAGAACATCGTGCGTGGCCATCCTCAACAAAACGGAAGATGTAACAGGCTTGAGTCGAAGACAAAAAGAAAGACCTAAATGCGCTCACATAAAAAAGAGAAAAAACAGATCGAGAGGTAGTTACTGTCGTATAGGCTAGACTGATTGAAGCGCGTGCGTGGCAAAAGTAATAACCTGAAAGCCCCCCCCCCCCTGGCCGAGCTTTTGATAACGGCAAAATATTGCAGCACCTAAGGCTTCTCGCAATTTCCGCAGGTCACATTTAACAAGACACATGAATCTCTCCGCAAGACCAAACAATGATTGGCAGGGTTTCCTGGCGATTTTTTTTCTACTTAGCAATTTACTGAAGGTGGTGCATCCACTTCAGTGTGAAAAAAAAAAAGGCACTTGGACACGTTCTTGAGTGCATAAAAGTTTACTGACGAACTCTGGAGGTAGCCCCATCTCTTCCACTTGCCTCTTGTTCCACGTGGGAACAATCGCTCAAGAAAAGTGGGGCTGGATGGAAAGTAATGCAAGATTACAGCATAACTGAAGATATTCTTTCACTTTCTTTCGCGATCTTTGCAATTGTTGTAGACGTAGTCAAATCATTCTATCTTAGTTGTGTTATTGGAGATCTCAATCGAGCTAATGTTAAGGCACCATGCAGAGAAGCAGTAGGGTACCGTACGAAAAAAAAAAAGAGCGTCTGTAACTTTTTGTTAGTTGTCGCGCGCCTTCGTGCCACGTGTAAGGAACCATCCGTGATAGCAAACTCTGATGCAACGTCAACTTTCGTGTTTTCCCCTTCTTGCGCAAAGTAGGGCATATACTTTTAATGAGCTCACATCTAAAAGTTTTGAAGCGTGATAGGAATTGTACAATAAGCAGGATGCCCAAAAAGAGAGTGGTCAGCTTTCAAAAAACATTCCACCAAGCTTCTTTATTGGAATTCTTCTTTTTGTATAACCGGAAATGACACAATGAGGGGGTATCGTTTCCGGGTGTCTTTTTCCAGGCTCTTTAACTATGCATGGCACGGCGTTATGGTGGGCCACTAGCTCCGCCACCACTTCTCGTCGCGGATCTGCGATTGTAGTATTGGGAATAAAGAAAGGCGCGAAGAGAAATGGAGGCACCTACAGATGCGCCTCGCGTGGAGTGGTTGGGGACGTTTATTTGTTTTCCCACTCGGTGATAATGCGTTGGCGGTGACGCGGGCTTCTTCCTGCATGCGATTGCTGCTGTCGTAAAGGAATCTCGCCAAAGTTATGGCCTCCAACTCGTGCATCGCTTAGGGTAGTCATTTGCTCTTTCGGCATCTACCCCGCTTCGTCCTCCGTTTCCTCCCTTCCTGAAGGTGGCACTAGAAAGAAAAAAAACTAACTTAGAGTATTGAACTGCGAACACTAAAGTGCAGAAAGCTTTGAAAGGAAATGCGCATGAGGGTCACACGTATAATGAGGCATGGTGTGCATGTGTCATATAAATATACGGACTGTTTCGCAAGTCCTAACGCTACTGAAAAAAAGACAAAAGTATGAAAGCGAACAGAGATGGTACGGCATCTACTCTTGTAAACCATAAATTAAGTGAGTGATGTGGTGCAAGCGTTCTTTTTTACGTTATTTTATTGCAGCCCCATTTTACACCTTGAAAGTAGTGTGGTGCAATTCGCGTCACATGAAACTCGAACATCAGCCAGCCTTCACGATGGTACAGAGCACGCCATCCCCTTATCCCCGTGGTCAAGCACGCATGTATACACAAAGCTGCCGAACAGGATGCGCCTGCCTGTCACTGGTGATAACTGGACGGTGCACACTATACCATCGTGAAGGCCTGCCGCTGTTCGGGTTTGATTTGACGTGTATAGTACATGTGGATGTTGTAGAGGGTGCGTGATAATAATCACTTCATCTGTGTTGTGTGTGGAGCGCCCTGTATGTATTGTGCACATAAAGGATAGTGCACTATAATAAACGGGGCACTTGTGTTTGGGAACGCGAAGCGTGCGTCTCGTTACTGCTGCCCATTGGCTTCGGCCTGCATCCCTGGCCGCCTCTGCTCGAATGCGCTTGGTACATGGTGTCCGAAGTGGGACGTCTGGTCCCTGCCTTCTGTCATAGTGAACAACAATGCTCCTGTTCCCGCCGGTACAGTCACCACTCTTCCTGGTCTTAACCCTGTGGTCACCTGTCTTCTTGTTCCCGTCTTCGCTCCAGCCAGTCTCCGAAGCCTTCCCCCGTTTTCCTTCGACGATGCAGGCGAGTGGCTTCCCGGGCTACAGCAGTTGAACTACGCCTTCGCTAACGGCATACGCGCAGTGGCGGGCGATACGCGGGTTAGGACGCTTCTCTACTGCATGAATCTCCGGGCACGCGTCATCGTCAGTTCGCTCATGTCCGATGAAAACGCTTTCAAGTCGTACGTGGAAGTCACCCAGCGGCTCACAAGCTACTTCGTGCACCCAGTAAACGAGGTGTACGAGAGTTCTCGCTTCCACAAGCGGTCGCAACAGTCCAGCGAGACAGTCGATAGTTTCTTCACGACCCTGCGAAACATGGTACGCAAGTGCAATTATCCGTCGCCTGCTGTTTAAGAGCGTCTTGTTCGCGAACGTTTTAATATGGGTTTACTAGACTCTCGTCTCTCGGACAAACAGAGCCGAACCTCGAAGCTCTTCTTGAACGATGCACTCGTGCAAGCCCGTCAACACGAAGACAATTAGCGTGAAAAGCAACGCATGACCTTCGCCGCTAAGCAAATGCTGTCGGCGTCTCACGACGACGTGGCAAGTTCCTGAAAACCAGCGCAGCGACCAATCGGTCGACATGAAAAACAGGACACTGGCGAAAAGAGCCACCCTGGCAAGGCCTCGAAAGCCTCGAGAAGCAGCCACGGTGGGCAGTGCCGGTCATGAGTTCCACTGACGGTCAGACTGCCCAGCTGCCGAACCCATTTGTAGTCACTGCAAGAAGCGAGGACACTTCGCGTTGGTGTGTCGCTCAAAGAAGCGCCTCGGATCTGTGGATCTACACGCCGTTGCGGTGGTGGCTCAGAATGAACGCTACGTTGAAGTGCACGTCGAAGGCGCCCTCTTGTCTTCAAAGTGGACTCTGGCGCCGACGTCTCGATGGTGCCGCGTATGTTTCCTGGCTGCCCAGCCGTACTCAACAAGCCGCGTGGTGAAGAACTTTTTGGGCCCGGCAGACAAGCTCTGAAGCTTCTTGGTACACCCTGCGCAGCTCTGTTTTGGCCAGGCAAACAAATTAACGAACGGCTATACGTTGTCGAAGGCCAAGATCAACCTCTTCTAGGCTATCCAGCCATCGTTGCCCCTGGTGTCGTCAAATATGTCGGAACTGTCTCGCCAGCCCGACCGGCAACGCCGCCGCGAGACGTCCCTCCAGCCTTTTTTACTGGCCTTGGAATGTTTCCGGGAAAAAAACGATCCGTACCAAACTTGATGCGGTGCCGTACTCCCTCAGCACGAACCGATGCATAATGATTCTACTACGAGACGTAGTCAAAAAGGAGCTCGATAAAATTGAGCAGAAGGGTATGATCCGGTGTGCCGATGAACCGGCGAATAGGGGCGCTGGTCTCGTTGTCGTCCCGAAGCCAGCGGGAAGTTACCGGCTTTCGTAGATTTGACCAAACTCAATCAAGTTATCCTACGCGAACGCCATGTGCTTCCCACCACTGACCGAACCCTCAGAATGCTCTGCGACGCCCGCATTTTCTTGAAGTTGGACGCAACTTCTGGATTTGGTCAAATACGCCTGGCGCGCGACTCTCAAAAGTATACGGTGCTCATCATATTGTTTGTAAGATACTGCTATTGCCACCTCTCGTTCGGTATAACATCGGCTCCAGGGTACTGCCAACGTCAGGTGTCTCGCCTGATGGAAGTATTGGCTGGTGTCGTTAATCTCATGGACGACATTCTCGTGTTCGGCCGCACCGCAGAAGAGCACTACCAACCGCCTCCAAGCAGTCTTCGGTCGCCTCCAGCAAGTGGGGATCATCTCAACGCTGCCAAATGCCGTTTCGGCGTGAGCAGTGTCCGCTTCCTTGGTGTCGTCGTTGGTCCAAGCGGCATCTCTCTAGATCCAGAAAAAGTGGTTGCCATTGAGGGTGTGCCAGCCCCTCAAACATTCATGGCCGGCAGCGGTTCGTGGGTATGCTCAACTATAAGGGTCGCTTCCTCCCTGGTCTCTCTTGGACAACTGCGCCGATTTGAAGTCTCCTGAACAAGACTGCTACCTGGACGTGGGGACCAGCGCCAGCCTCAGCATTGGGAAGCTCTTGTCCATACTGTTCTTAGGCACTTGCCTAGCAAGATACAACCCTGCACTCACGACAACGGTCTCCTTAATGCCAGTTCCTACGGACTGAGTGCGGTGCTCCTTCAAGACCAGATTTCAGGTGATTGCCGACCAGTTGCATACGCCTCTCGTGCCCTGACTGAGACTAACCTTGAGTACAGCCAGATTGAAAAAGAGGCACTGGCTGCTACCTGGTCTATTAACTATTTTGCTTCACCCTCGAGACCAACCATAAGCCTTTGGTCAAGCTCCTTGACATCGCGAACCTCGACCTCATGCCACCAAGGATACAGCACTTTCGTATCCTCCTCCTTCAGTAGCAGTTCCACGTCAAGTACGTGCCTGGGAAACAGTACGGTACAGCTGACGCACTTTCGCGGAACCTAGTTGCCAAACTCCCAGAGACTACAGTCGTTGACAAGGTCGAGCTGTATGTCCAAGGAGCACCCCACGCTATCCCTCCTAACGTTTTCGGTCCTACTCGACGACTTTCGAGCTCACCAGGCTGCAGATTGGGAGTGCGCTCTGCTCAAGACGTATTGCGAGCAAGGATGACCTCGGAAGCAGAATCACACTTTCAAGATAGGACAGTTTTGTGCTCGTCGTGCTGAGATCAATATAAACGACGGCCTTCTTCTCTGCGGTGGAAGCCTACTCGTGCTCACTTTGCTGCGCAAGCACGTCCTGTCCCTCATTCACGATGAGCACCTCGGAGTGAGCCGCTGCCACGCCATCACCAAGGGGGCTGTTTGGTGGCCAAGCATGGGGAACCAAATCAAAACCATAGTGAAAAACTGTCACAACTGCGCCACCACGCTGGTCCAGTGAGCAGAGCCACTGCTTCATATTGCAACATGCATGTTGACATTTTGTGAGACGATGCGCGTGTGTGCCTGACGAAGATGATAAAAAGTGGTCTCCGCTCGGTGTCTGGTCAACTGGTGACGCTGCTGCTACTGGTTTGAAATATATTTCATTCACAGCCTCGTCGATACGGCGTCTCTTCTCTTCCTTAACAATATGGTGACGCCTAGCCGCCCTTGGGAGCGGGTCGGGGTGGACATATTTGATCACAAAAAAAAAGCAGATTACCTTCTCTTCGTCGACTACTTTTTGAGGTACTTCGAAGTGCTGACCCTTCGCTGAACGATGTCCGCGGCTGTGATCTCTATCATCAAATGTGTATTTCTAAAGCATGGGATCTCTGAGACACTCGTCAGCGACAACGAACCGCAATTTTCGTCGGTATAGTTCCGCGCCTTCTCCCAGAGTTACGGCTTCTCCCATGTCAACAGCAGTCCCAGCTACCCTTAATTTAACGGTGAAGTCGAGCGCATGGTGCAGAGGGTGAAGGAACTTTTCAAGAAGTCTCCGGACTGGCCCTTGGCCCTCCGGTCGCACCGCAACGCACCTGCCGTCACCGGCTACAGCCCTGCTTCGCGGCTGATGGGACGCTACCTCCGGACCCACCTCCCTGTGCCAACAGCCACACTTTTTTCCAAGCATCTTTGCGCTGCCGGCTTCAACAGGGTGACACGGCTCAACATCTACGCCAGCGTCAAGATGTCAACTGTCGGAATTCTGCGAAGGATATACGTTCACTGAAGGAGAGGGAGACAGATCATAGATTCGGGACGCAGAGTGTGTGCGAACAGTGTTTAGCCCAGCGCACTGTCCACGCTCCTATGTAGTACATACGGACGCAGGGGCTCTTGTTTGCAACCACAGACATCTGGTACCCCAGCAGTCTCAGACATTGGGTGTTGGTGAACATCTGGTTCCGCAGCAGAGTCAGCCGTCGGTTGGTGGCGACTTCAGCAGTTTCAGTTCACTGCAAGGAGGATCTACAATCCCGCTGTGGACTCCAACTCGCCCAGTGTCTGACTGTAGCAGTCCTTCACCACCTGCTGACGTCGTTACCCAGCCACCAGCTGCGTCGCCACAAGTTGTCCCAGCTACCTCTTTAAGACCGCCAGCGTCGGGTGGGTGCACACAGTCGGGACGTAGCATTAGGTCGCCTGTGCGGCCGAACTTGTAGTCTGCGTAACACATTATTAGGTTCATACCTGGTAGATGTTAGGGCCTGTATTATTTTTTTTTCATTTAAAAAGGGGTATGTAGAGGTCGCGTGGTATTATTCACTCTAGATGTGTTCAGTCTGCAGTGCCCTTTATGTATTCTGTACATAAATGATTGAGTACTAATGAACGGGACACTTGTGTTGGGAACGCGGAGAGGGCATATCGTTACTGCGGCCCATGGGCTTTGGCCCGCGTCCCTGGCTGACTATGCTCGAACACACCTACTACAGATATAACGCAAACGCAATAACTCACAGTAATCCTTATGAATTCACCTACAGAAGATGACTCAAAGGTGAACGCCATCTTGATCTACTGATTCATTATGTTATCCTCCCCTGACTCCCTGCGAAAGCTTTGTGCTCCTAACGGGGTTTTTCGCTGCTTCCAGGATCGCAGGCACTGCAAGCTTCCTGCATCTCGCGTGGTATTCAACTTCATCCGTGATTGGAGCACCTCTGACCAAGCGATTACATCATTAGATGACATCAAATCTAACAAATAATCACGCGTCTTGACATTGCATATTTTGTCACTCCATGACATAATGCGTACCTCATATGGTGACGTCATTACATCATGACGATTTTTACATCATCCGTGTTGACCGACGCTGCGGAATGCTGACAGGAAATTCTCGTGTTTGGTGAGGCTTCTAAGGCTTTCGCATTGGTAGGTGTTTTTAGCTCAGCGTCGCTTACGCTCTGCTCCGCGATGATGCAGCGATCCAAGCTAGTGCAAAGAACTGCATAGATTTCTCGTTTTCGACAAGCACGTCTTGCGGAGACGCGGTCAGCTTGGCTGCAAAGCAGTCGTAAAATGTAAGGAACGCATTTTCACGCTCCACTTATTTGAGTTCCCCGCGGAGCGAAAGCTGCGTCTTACGCGCTGTTCACACGATCGTTCCGCACACGCGAGCTACAGTTCCTTCAACGCGTTTGTGTGTGAATTGCTTTCATAAACAAGTCTCACCAGAGCTGATTTTAAACGCTAAGTTGAAAGTGACTAACTCTCGTGCTGTATATACTAGTGTGTGTATACACTCTATTTCGTGCTGTATATACTCGGTCCTGGTTTAGTAAATACACTTTTACGTTGATCCCGTGCGTGTAATGTGCGAGCAGTTAACTACGTCCTGCGTAAAAAAACAAAATGACAAAAATTCCGTGGTAAAAAAATGTTATTAACGG